TTATAATAATATATATATATATATATATATATATATATATATATATATTTACATCTGTTCTGCTCGCTATTGATCTTTCGTTTTTCTTGTTATTTATATTTTACGATCATCGTTATTTTTACAAGCGTCTCAAACAATTTTTTCATATTTTTTCCTATAAAATATTGCAAATAAAAAATTTAATGAAATAATTGTCTCTTGCCACTAATTTGCTCGGTGAATATTTATTTGAAGAGTATGGGAGGGACAAAACCGGCCCACTGGTCTCGCGGCCTGAATGCGGGAGTCGCGAACATTGAGGTCCCGATTTCGCATTCGCTCTCTCAATATTTTAAGATTTTTTCCAGGCCGGTCGATTTTCAATCGAGTTATTCGATTTGAAAGACGAACTGAATCGGGCCTTCAATAATTAATTGAGTGTATTTTCATCCGCACTTTCGGTGGTTCGGGAAATCCACATCTAAAATTTATAGGTCCATTACACTCTACAATCCGCACTTTGGATGCTACGGGCTATAATCCACCCGTACGTCCGAGATCTAATGTTATAGAGGCCCTATATGCTCCACGAGGGAGTAATAAAACTCTTATTATTTATTATTATTTATTATGGAAGGGACAAGGAAGAAAAACAAAGAGAAAGCAATTGAATAATACGCGATAAAGAATTTATTTATACGTACAACGTGTGATCACAATATTCATACCTAGAAAATACAAAAGCTAACACACCACGCATGCTGCTGTTGCTGACATGTACTAAGGGCCCACCTCTCTGAGAGATAGACGTATGTTACCAAAGAATAGAGTGCGATTCCTGGGGAATGTTGATATTTTTGACACGAAGAGAAAGAGAAAGAGAGAGAGAAAGAGAGAATAAATGGCACATAAATAAGTTTTCCTCTCTTCTCTGTAACGACTAACGATAGCCGTCGTAGTACGCTCACTGCGCGCGTGGAAGAAGAATTCAATGAAATAAATAAAAAATGTAATATTTTAAAAATCTTACAATTTTTATTTTCATTTTGCTATTCCTCACATCTAGAAAATTAAAATATTTAACTTAAAAATCTCCAAAATTAGTTGAAAAATTTCCAAATAAATATCAGGAGATCGTGAGAATCAACAGAAAAACTCGAGTAGACAATGGCAGATAATTCCAAGAATTAATTAAATTATTATGTAAAAATTTATGATTTATGAACTTAAATCTAAAGCTGACGCGTCGATTAGTGCCTAAGTCAGGTTGTCTATATACGATCGGGACTACTTCGCGTCGCTCGAATATATTTACAATTGTGAAACAATACTGAAATCTCATCGCGGAACGAATGGATACGAACCAGCGCGTTGAGCTTTATTTTCTAGAGTCGAGAGATACAATCAGAATACAAAACTATATCTTATACATACGCTCCGTCCAAATCGACAGTTTAGCTTCTACGATGATGATGATGCTGCTGCTGATGATGATGATGATGATGATGATTGTTGGCTCTGGTTTTGTTATTCGGTGTGCGAAGAACTTCTGCATAGGACATCTCCAGTCGCTTCAACCGAGCCACTTCTTCGGACGCGGTGCTGGGTTTGTAATCCCTGTACTCGTAATTATTATGCTGTTGCTGCTGCTGCTGCTCACTTAAACTGCGCGTGTACGCATGCTGCCGCCTCGGTCGGTTCGGGGACCCGTTGTACTGGCCGTTCCACGTATTAGAATATTCGTGTTCGGCTGGATTGAACGGCTTGAATCTTCTTCGACCGCCGCTGTTGGACTTGGGCGGCACGAACTTCGGATTTGTCGTGGGAATAACGTCCGGTGTGTTTGACCGGTCGTTGTAATATGTCTTCTTGGCGCCGTTCTTTTTCGCCGAAGACTTCTTGCGCACACGCAAGTTGAGAGACACGTAGTCCATTCTGCAGCCACTGTCCTTTGCGTCTTGTTTGTTGGCAACGGTGCCGCTGGATTTGTTATTGTCAGGCTGTTGGTTATCACCGTTCTTAACGTTGCTGGGAGGACTGGTAGGTTGCATTCTGAAGACTGGTTCTGAGACTACCGACGATACCATAGACGACATGACACTTTGATTATCATCAGTCGCTTCGCTGTGCTGATCCTCCTGTAACGATGTGTCAAGCGTCGTCTGCGATATGGCGGAATCGTCCAGCAACGGCAGTTTTTCGCCTTCGTCCTTCGCCTCGGCCGCTCGTTTCAGCACACTGAAAATCTCGCTAAAGAGCTGTCGATATTCGGGCGTCTTGCGGAATCTACTCTCAAATGGGCTATTGTCGTCGTAAATGCTGAACTTGCAGTCCTCGCCGTCGGCGATCGAGCACAGAAATGAGCCCGGCCTACCGTCCGTCTGTGTTGCTTTGTTGCTAGTCTCATCTGAGAAACCCGAGGACGACGTCTCGGCCTCGGAGAAATCCGTCGGAGTTGCGGAGAAGGGTTTTTTGCCGGTCTCGGGTTTGGCTTGCGAGACCGTCTTGGATGTGTTTTCCGGAGCGTTGGCGACTTCGGCGTCCGATGCGGCGGGATAGAAATTGTTGAATTCCCCGGACATTACCAATTCCTCCTGCAAGGACATACACGTCGCGGGCGTGGTATCCTTGCGCCGCGGCTGACAATGCCTCTGCACCTCTAACAAGGCCTGATACTTCTCTACCAGAACTCGGTAAGGGTTCGTACTATCCAGTTCGTCCGTATCTTCGTTCTTTCTGCCTACGTCCTGTGTGCAGGTACAATTAACGTTTGTGTGCAATTATGGAAATATGTGTGCAAAGATTATATGCGGCAAAGCAATCATTTCTAATTTCATTTGAGTATAATTTGAAAAGCTATAGTTGTACATTTAGGGCTCCGACTTTTGCCATCTTTTAATTAAGCCAAAATTAAACCCCTTTGCGGACAGACATGGGTCTCCGAGACCTACTCAAAAATTGCGCATCGGCGTTTCCAGTAAAAATTAGTTTTTTTTTTTTTTAACGCTTATATCTTCGAAACTACTAGATTTTTCAATTTGTTTGTTTTTATCGACGCAGAATTGTGTTCAAACTTTAAATTCAAAAACTCAAAATCGAAAAATTATTGATTTTTCGCGGAGATGTTCGATCTTAAAGTCGCGTGGGTCTCACAGACTTACAGTCCGCAGTACTCGCAGGTCATTTTTGAGATGTGTCCGCGAAGGGTTAACGTGACAACTTTAATATCAATATTATAAATTATGTTATGTTTGTTTTTTGTTTCAAGTTTATTGATTTTATCGATCGCTGCGATTCATGTTAGTGGCTACGAAGCGTTGTGTGAAATAGTAGGATAACTGGAAGCAGAAAGGCGAAGGATCTGCCAGATTTATAGGATATTAAAGACTGCGTAATAGTTTTCGTAAAATTGTGTTTTTATTTAAAATCTTATAAATCTGGCACACTTACACATTATACAAATTAATATTGGAAAAGAATAATTCGACTAGACGATGTAGTAATTCAGATAACAAAAATTCTCTCATGCTCACACAGTAACAGCAATAATATATAAAGCACACAGACGTACATTTACTTACACTACACTCTTATCTAATATTTGTGAAACGTATCGACAAGTGAATACAGTCTTCTTAATGATCTTTGGATGTTAATTAATAATTAATCAATTTCTTGCAACAAAGTACATGCTAGAACATCATAAATATCTTTATTAAAAAAGACACTTTGAATTCTAATAGTTTTTCGTCAAATTTTAATATTTTCCAAAACATTTTTAATTATTACTTTGTCTTGCTACTTAAAAACTCCCTCTATATACTTTTCTTTGTGTGCATGTCACTTATAATCTGTGTATATATATATTTCTTTGTATGCGTATTAGTTAAAATCGCGCGTTATTGAAGCAACTAAAAATGTTTATATAGAAAGCGACATAAGATCAAAACCATTCGCATTAAAACAATTGTGTGTAGTTCGAGTGGCACGCTGTAATTTTTACATTTAATTTGTCAAACTTTAAATGTAAAATCTTTTTAAAAATAGAATATAATTGAAAAATCATATTCATCATAATCTATTTTCAACAAAATAAATTAAAAAAATAACATTTAGTTATTTACTTTTATATACATGTAACTGTCAACGAATAAAATCTGAATATATTTTTTGCTCGAGTTAGCGTACGTTGCGTTGTGTTAATGTTAAATCATCTTCGATCTCTGGCGTTTGAACAGCCAAAGACTAAAGACGATTCGTGACATTTTTCGAAGTATAAACGAAGGTACTTGAAAAGGCGCGAGCGCTAACGGAATAACGAAGTAGCCGATTGCTCCAGAAAAATAAGACAACATTAACGGCACTCTCGCAAAAGCGAATATCTTCCGTAACAGCGAACTATACCATTTACGTTCTGTCTTTGGCTTGGATTTCGCGAAGTTTGTCATTTCCTAAAGCAGATAAAAGAGAATTACTATAGAGTGTTCCTATGCAAGCGTAGACCGACCGAAAAAAAAAAAAAGAAGCAACAGATTCAAGCAGAAAGAACAACTCTCAGTTCGTGCAAACGTAAATAACTAACAAGTAACGATTTGCAGAAGCGAATCGAGTACTTGAAAAAAAAAAAAAAAAAAAACAACAACAACACAAGGTATACCTGCACCGTTGAATCGGAGTCGCGTGGATTCTCGTTGACTAATGACTCAGCCATGCTTATGTCGTCATACTCTTCCTGGTCCAACATGATGGAGAGTTCGTCGTGTGTCCTCGTGTTCATACCCCGCAAACAGCGTCCGCACAACTGACCTCGTCTGTGAAGCATAAATACAGATTTTTATCGGTTTATATGTCGTTGGTATTATCGTACAAAACTCTTTGTATAATAATAACCGGCCCATTGGTCTCGCGGTCTAAGTGCAGGGGCTGCGAACACGGAGGTCCCGAGTTCGAATCCGCTTATCACCTTAGGATTTTTCTGGGTCGGTTCCTTTCAATCGAGTAAATCGGTTGATTGGCGAATCTGAATCGGGCCTCCAAAGATTAATTCGAGTGAAATCTCGAATTAATTTCTCCCCACACAAGGCGATCTTAAGTCATAACACCAGAACACACGAGCCCAATACAGATGGGCACGCCCACTGTATGAAAAGACGGCCGTGTATCGCGTGGTAGTAGCATACTGCGCAATCCTCACTCGTGTAAAAAGAATAGTAAGAACAGAGAGAGAGAAAGATAGTAGAAAAGACCAGATTAAAGACAGTGAAAGAAGAAGAAGAATGTGACCCGCAATTATTGTAAGCGCGGTCATGGGCACTTTAAAATAATGATATAAAAAACAATTGTATAATAACAAATGCAAATTAACTTGTCTCATTTGCATTAAAACGAATTTCTTGATTGGACGCGTGGGAAGAGTCAGCGATCCGAGAAAAAAATGAACAAGAAGAAGACGAGTGCGTGCGAACCTGACTTCCTCCAGGGTATTGATCTCATCCTGCAGACTCTTCACATCCTGCGCCTTGTTACGCCACTCTGCTAATTGCTCCTCCAACGCGCTGTTTTCCTGCAACAAACTGGTCAGTTGCTGACTGAGCTCGGACACCTTCTTCTGTTCTCTAGCTCTCTGGTTCCGAGCGTCCTGCAATTGTCTCCGCAACTCGTTCATCTCGTCGTCGTTCGCCGTGTTCGCGACATGTTTGGTTGTCTCTTGGCAGGGCCTCGGTGAGCTTGGGGCAGCTCTCTGAAAAGAATAGAAGAGAAAACGCATAGCGTCAATCTTCTCTGTGTGTGTTGTTGTTAAAAATAACTTTAAAAACGCGAACAACAAATGTTTTTTTTTTTTTTGAGTTTTTGAATGAAATAATTCGCAAAGTTTTATCATATTATTTGTGCAATCCACCTGTTTCTCGCTGCCACCTTGCGTGTCCAAAGCCTTCCAATCAGCATCTTGTTCCTGCGCAATATCTTTATTCCTAGATGGATAGTTTACTGCTTGTTGACGTAACTGTTCGGTCAAGTCGTCAATCTTCTTTTGTAATTCCTCACATCTTATTTCTAGATTTTCGATAGTCACAGATTGGCTGAGAAAAAAGGAAGAAAAAAGTGCGCGTATTATTATAAGATTATTATTATCGTGTGATCGCACACATTATTAATAGAATAATCAAAAAATTATTGTTAAATTCTATATCGATGAATAATTTTTCCATTCGTATTATTTCTTTAATCTAAGAAGTGAGAAAAGTATTTTTTATGAATTCAAACTTGTTTTTACATAACATTGTGAAAAAATGTGAACGCGTTGTTCAATCAACAAAACTTTGTTCATCAAAAGAAGCAAATCGAACGGTGTTAACAGATTAGAATAAAAAATCAAAAAAAGAGAGATAACATTTAATGCTCTTTGCGAAACTCTAATTGGACGGCTATGAATTATGAATTTAGAAAGATGCGAGTTCCACAAGGTTCTTTACGACACACAGTCGGTGTGCACAATAGCTGGATTCTGACAATAAGATATACAATAACAACAGGTCTCTTATTAAGTCTGCGTGCGTCTTTTGTGGAACGTCTCTCTCGGCGAAATTAAATCTTTAATTAACCCTTCGTCCGCAGACCTAAAAAAACAAACTTACGAGTACTGCAGGTTGGGTCTGTGAGACCCGCGCGATTTTAAGATCGCGTGTCTCCGCGAAAAAGCAATATTTTTTCAATTTCCTTGTTGTTTTAAATCGGAAGTTTGAACGATTCCGCGTCGATCAAAAAAACAAACAAACAAATTGAAAAAATCTCTAGTAGTTTCGAAAATATAAGCGTTAAAAAAAACAAATTGTTTTCTTAGAAACGCCGATGCGCAATTTCTAAGTGGGAGAGACCCAGTCTGCAAGCGAAGGGTAAAATCTTAGAATTTCGTTTGTTTATTTGAACAAATGTTAAGTTGAATTTTTTATTTTTGAAAAAATTTCTTTATTTTTATTTACTGGAAAAAATAATAAAAAAAATAAAAAAAACTAAAAATATATATATATATATATATATATATATGGATTCGTCGCGTTGAAGTCCTACCTTTTGATCAGCTTCTTATCGCTCGTATTCTCGATCACCAGGTGATGATTTGCACGTTCCAGATCCTGCACGCTAACCTCCAGCTGCTCGTAGACTTTCAGCCGCGTATTATTCACTTCCTTCAACGCGGCAGTCTGTTTTTTCATATACTGCAGAACGAAGCGATAACACGCGTTATTTATCAAACGATGCGATTTTGAAGTCGAGCGTGACTTTGTCAATTGTGACGATTCAAAATTGTTCGTTAGTTTTTATCGTCGTGTATTGCACGTACATATTTACAAAATTATTGCAAGAGGAAATAAGCAACATTAATGAAATTATCAGACAGTTCTGATTCAATCTAATCAGGTTGTTTCGCGAGTGTCAATTATCGAAAGTGAATTAATTATTGAGCGAACAAACAATAATTACTTTGCTCTATCAAATTACCTCAATCTCTTGCGCTTGCTCTTCCACGGTAGACTGATGTAGCTTGATTATGTTCTCCAGCTCCTTATTTCGTTCCAGTAGAGTCTTGCCGAGCTCCGCCGCCAATTGAAGATCTGCACAGAAACGCCGCATTCTTCTTACAAACGCGTCTTATCGAATCAAAAAAAAAAAATATATATATATATAATTTAACTATTGCTTGCAAGTGCACCCTTCTTCCATTCAGTCCGTTCCGCGCGCGATAGATCGACCCTGAAATCGATCGGCGCTCATGCTAACAACAAAACGTGTACCAATAATTCTGTGTGATTGTTGATCGAAGATAGAAACAAAACACCTGCATACGTCGACGTCGGAATTGCAAATCAACACAGAGGCTGCAGTTACGAATGATAATGAAGTAATGAGCGATCGTTGTTGCAGGTTGTTGCCCGCCCGAACGGCGGCAGCGCGAGAACGCTCTGGTTCACGCTCACGGCACTCCCTCATTCTGACATCGGCTAGGGCCAAGGACCTTCGCGAGCACGAAGATCGAGCAATCAAACTGCTGTTTACGCGATTTCGCAGCGTCAGCAACGCCGACCGAGAGAGAATTTCATGAATTTCAATGAATACGACAAACACGGAATACGAAATTAAGATTCGGTATTTTTGATTTGGAGCGAAGAAAAGAACAACACACATACTACAAGGACGAGAAAAATTTATATATTCAGAGATGTTTTATATTAAACGCATGTATGAGTGTAAAAATTTTGTTTTTATCTCCGTAGAGATTTATATTTTCTCCTTCCCGTCTGTTCTTTTCAGTGAACTATAGAAGTACTTGTTTTACTCTTCAATCGTTAATTAATCACAAAATAATCACAAGAACGATCTTTCCTAATTATCTATCTTCACTTCTCTGCCGAACTAAACACTATATTTTCGCACATCATCACCACAATAATGAACGTTGTCGATTAGCGCAGTCAACTGGGAAAGAATCTTCAACGGGGAAAGAATCTTGCGTGAGAAGATCTCGCGTATCTTCCCTACTTACTACTTTCGGAAGAAGATCCCTTGAGACTCTTGAGATATGCGAGTTCGATGGAATAATCCCAGCCTTCCAGCGAGTTGGTCTGAGTCTGCGGGTCCCAGACCATGTCAACGCTCTGCCCGCCGTTCATGGTGGGTGCGCGAGATGAACCAGCTTCCGTTGTCGTCGTAGCTGATGCCTCTTTCGCGGCACGCAACCGGTTCCTTCGGTGGCGGCCGGTCTTCTGGTGGATCGTGGTAGCCAGTCCGACCCAAACGTCGTGTGTGCGCCCACCTGAGCCGTAATCCAACTCCCTCTCCGTCTCTGTTTCTCTCTGTGCCTCTCCTCCCTTCTCCGTTCGCTCTCTCACGAACTTCTGCCCCGTCTCCTTGTATCTTTCCCCCCCTGAGGAGACACCGAGGAGGTCTCTTTTACTTCGGCCACACAACCACCACTTTTCAGAAGTAGTTTTAAATTTCGGTCGGCGTTCACAACAGGTGCAATAACCCGGCCGATTTCATTCAAGTCGACAACGAAGTTCAAACAGGAAGAGAGTGTCATTTTTAGATCTCTGAATTTGTAAAAGACGTTTGTTTCGAGACTATTGTGACGGGATAATCGAATGATGGATCGGGGATCTTTCATCATCCCTCCTTTCTCGGGAACCACTTTTGTGTCCGAAAATATACTTCCACGGATACTCTCACTTCAATTCTTCCCTTCCTTTCTCTTTTGTTTTTCTACACGGCTAGTTTTCGGTCGGCCGCCCGTGTTCCAACACGATAAGACGAGACGTTCTACTTTTCAATCTTTTGCATATTTTCTCACGGAAAAGACACAAATTGAATGGCGTAGCTGGAACAAGATGTTCACATTCTTCGATTGAAGATTTTTAGGAACTAATTGATTTCTGAATACATATCCGCGTTTTTACACTCGAAACGACAAGTACGTGAACTTTGTGGCTTTGCTAAAAATACCTCGAATGATCGAGTGACGACGTGTGAATTTTTGTTTAGAATCAACCTCGTCATCAATCTCTTCCATTGTTTTAAGACTGTAATATTAATTAATTGGGGTGTAGCTAGTCATCAAATAACAGCAATTAAGCTTCCACATCGACGTTTAGTTACGTTACGTTAATAACCGACGAAACCTTGATCCACTTGAAACATATAATAGTGAATGCGACAACAGTTCGATAACAGCTTGGATAGGTGACGGGCATGCAGAACTTTTATTACCCCTACTGTAGATACAAGTTTGTACAATTGTATAGTTGTGGAATAATCAAAAGCGCTATGCCCTGTTATAAGAGATCTACTTTTATTGTAGTTATTTTATGAGACATTGCAGTTTTGTAGAATAATCATTCGAATAAATTAAAATGAAAACAATTTAAACAGTTTAACCCTCAAACTGCAAAGATTTTTTTTGGCACTTTTTATCTGCAAACCGAGGTCGTTTATGTCCCACTGTATTTTTTTCTATGTTAAAGTTATAGAAAACTTGTGATAAAATTTACAAAGTAAATTTTAACCTTTAAACCTTTTAGCTTACAGATCAATGAAAATATTTTGGAAAAAATTAATACATTTATTTATTTTAAATTAATTAATTTCTTTTTTAAATTAATTAATTTATTTTAAATTAGTTTACATTTAAATTAATACGTATACTTATAGTTCAGAAAACTTCAGAGCCCAAAAGATTCTCTATTATAAATTAATTTGTTTAAATAATCTTTTAATACAAACGAAGTAACTCGAAATGTAGTTTTGTTTAAAAAACCGTAATTTTCCAAAAAATTGAACAAATTGAAAAACAAAGTGTTTAAATTAAAGATAAAGATTGCAGCTTTCATAAAAAATTATGCTATTGCATTTTATTAAATATTTTGAATTTTGGATTTTTTTTTTTAATTTTGTTTTGTCACTTTGTGGCTGTCGAAGTTGTGTCGGAAACCTGAAATTTGACCGATACGTTCCTCTCCTATACAACTTTTTTTTTAGGGCGGAATATGACTTCTCTCTCTTTTCTCGTCTATAAGGCAAGTAGATTTTGCGCGGACACAAATGACCCTAGTTTGCAGTGTAAGAGTTAATTATACTTTTTAGAAAGAGATTAAATTTACATACATACATAGAGATCCGAGTTTGACGGCTAAGATGTTTCTTTTTCAATTAATTTTTTAATTTTCATGAAAGAAGGAAATAAACTAGATATTTTACATATTTGTGACGCAAATCAACTCCAATCCTATGACTATTTTCAAATACACAAATAAACAAAATACAGTCCAAAAAGTATTTGTACACCTAGTTTTTGTATGATATCTTTGTATAAACATATGATACATTAACAAAAACAATATTTATTAATAGTCAATTATATGCTGAGATAATGTGCTGAGTAACATTTTTTAATAACGCGTTACAAAAAATCAATAAAGAAAATACATAAATTTGAATGCCAAAAAAGTATTTGTCCACTTGCGTTTTACATAAGAAATATACGATTCTCTTCAAGTTTTACTTAATACGAAACAAGTTTTTAATCTTGCAATCTGTATTTAATTATCTCGCGACACGTCGATATGTATTCGAGCATTCATAATTTCTTCGATAAATGCTAAAATTCCAACTTCATTAATAAGACATACAATCGCAAACTATTATGTGCATTATTATTAAATGTGGGTGTACAAATAGTTTATATATATATACAGTATAGTACACACACACACACACACACACAAAACAAATACTCGTGAAAATTTCCAACTGAATATTAGAGTCGATACAATTAAATTTGATTCGAATTTTGATGTTTATTAATTTACACATTTGAAGAAAGTTAAAAAAATATAATTTATATTTGCACCGACATCCAGCATACAAACTCGTCTCTGATATTTAGTTTGAAATTTTCACGAGCATTTATATATATATATTTTGTATGTGGTATCAAATTTTTTTTACTTATTGCAGAGATAAGTTTACACATAAACATTTATATTATACATCAGTTTATAATATAAACACTCGAAGAAAATTTTACAAACTTACTGTGATATTGGAAGATTTGAGCCTTGAGATTGAATTATGTATTTTGTCTAATTGTTTCCGGGTAAATCTGCGCCGGACTCCATTGTTTCAAAGAAATCTATAATCATGATTCAGCAACTTTCGTCGACTTCCGAAAACACCGGCCTAATACCCTCATTACCCGCCTGATTATTAGAGAAAACGCATGTTACCGCGGCATCGTGGACAATTGTAAACGATCAACAAGCCAAATAAAATCTTATTATTCCGTCTTCAACACGGCGCGCGCCGTTTCATCGACTAATGACACATCCAATGGTAAACCAAGTGCAACGGGAAATCGTACAAGATATATCCGAAGTAAGCGGCTGGTAATTCGTGACATGTTCTGTTAACTCTCGAGAGTTAACGATTGAACAGCAAAATGGATTTGGTTTCGCGAAACGCTTGCTAACGAATAAGCGTGACGTATGAAACTTTCTGCTTATGAGAACAAAACGTTATGAAAAAAAAAAATAAGACGTCACAATTTTTAAATTTTACACTTAAAAAATATGAAGTAAACGAACGACTACTAATGCTAATCAACTGATTGAAAACAAAAACCTTCAGAAGAAAGTTTTCTCTGGTTTTTTCTTTCTTGATTTCTCTCAAGTAAAAAAAAAGTAGAAAATCTAAATTGGATTTTTAATATCACGCGCACTAAGCAATGTAAATCGTGTACTTTGTCTTCAGAAAACTCGTCGCTTTTGTTTCTTTGCACTCGTGAAACAAATCGCGTCTCGTCTGAATCGAGTTCGCGCGGGGTCACGGCAGAAGCGAATAACAAGCTCGTCTTCCTCGTCATTACGCTCGCTCGCTTGGAGACTTCATTATCCGGCATGACTCGGGAGACTCCGCGGTGGCGCAAATATCATCGTCGTTGCCGCGACGATGTCGATTAACCCTCCGGGGAAATAAAACGCTGGGAAACCCTCGTCCTCCGATAACGCCGTTTCCATTTGCCGCATCGTTCGCGGTGAAAGTTGCTTTTATGCTTGGTTATGTT